ACATTTGAAGTCTTTGTCAAAAAGCCATGTTTTTTATTAATTCATATATTTTTATTAATTCATATATTGAAGTAACTTGTTAAAATTGCAAACCACTGTACTGTGTCAAGAATGAGAATCTGTGTTCAGCCATTCTTGTATCCAAAGAACTCAACACACAGAGGTACTCAAATGTTTGTTAAACTAAAGAATGTCCCTCTTCCCCCCAAAAAGTCATACTCATATTGTATCCTATACCAGCAAGGTACTACATGTTACAAGATCTATTCTAGGAAAAGAAATAGTCTCTGAGAAAATCTACTAAGTACCAAGAATATCCTTTATCTTTTTTAAGCACAAGGGTTTCACACACTATAACCATATCTAAAAGAAACTGGAAGGGGCCAAATTTAAGCTACAAAATAAATTCTTACTCAGAATGCCACCAAAACAAATTCTAAGAAAAAATAACTATTGATTTCCCATTTGTTTCAAGTTATTTTCAATAGAAACAAATTCTAATACAACCACAGTAAAAAACACAGACTAGAGTGAAATGTGAGGGTATAAAAATGTAGGACTGTTTAACTTCAAGACAAGAGTGCTATCATTAGTGAGCCCATCTCTCACTCTAGTTCTCCCTCATTTTCTCTACCTTCTTGTAGGTTCCTCTTCACTGACTACCTATGTGCCAGAATCCATGCTAGATGCAAGTGAAATACTGCAGGCCCTGCCCTCAACATGTCTACAGGTCTTCAGATTACAAAAACTCACAATACAAATATTTAGTCTACAGGCCTTCAGAATACAAATATTCACTAAAAACACAGCAATTTCAAGGACTTTAAAATCATATTACATTTCTTATTTAGACATGGTAAAGGGGTGGTTATTAATGTGTTACTTCTGAAGAACTGAAGTGTATAAGCTCCAAGGTAAGGGGCTATTTGATGTACCCCCAATGCCTAATATAGTGACTGGAACAAATTAGGAGCTTAATAAATCTGTTTAAAAATGAAAGCAAACTGTAACCATCAAAGGCATTGGGCTTAAGGACAAAATCTATTTTAAGCTATCTCCTTTCTCCTACCTTCTCTGTAAATTCAACTCATTCCACAAATTCAACTCTGTTCGCCTGTAAGAACAGAAGCAGAATGGCCTTTACAGACTTTTCCCCATATCTTCCCTCATTATTAACAGGATGTCACTCCTTCCATTTGGTTAATAGAAAATATATGGCTCTGCACATACACAGCAACAAAGAATAGCTGAACTCCAAAAATCAGGGTTTATTATCAAACTCAAACCCACTTTCAAAAGCTCAGCTAAGAAAAACAATATATAAAACAATCCATACACTCATGATGCCAAAAAAAAAAAAAAACCTACCCTTGAATTTAGTCAAATCATCCGAGAATTGAAAACATCAAACTAGTACCCTGTATTCACTAAGCTACTGAACTACCCATCAACAAAAACCAACAGCATACTAAGGGGCAATACAGGGACTGAAGTGTCCGGTTCAATTCTGATCAAGGGCATTTGCCTGGGTTATGGGCTCAGTCCCCAGTGGAGGGCATGCAGGAAGCAGCCAATCAATGATTCTCTCTCATCATTGATTTTTTTTTCCTCTCTCTCTCTCTCCCTTCCTCTCTGAAATCAATAAAAATATATTAGAAAAAGAATGAAATTCAGACATACTAAAACCATATTTTTAATCTTTAAAATTTCACCATATCTAACCAATGACTTGCAGGGAAATTAAGATGATAAATAACAACTGCACAGCATTTACTATGTGCCAGGCTGTCTAGTATATCTTCTTATTAATGCTAATAATCCCATAAAGTAGGTACTATTGTCATCCCCATATTACAGGTGAGGAGACTGAAGCACAGATGTTAAGTAATTTGACTGAAGTCACTAGTAAGTGTGAAAACAGTTTTTGAAACTAGCTTGGCTCTAAAGTCAAGCTCTTACCTGTTATCTTACACTGCTTCTCCATTTAACACAGATTAATTTCCTGCATCCATCACTTCCTACATTCAAAGTTCAAAGCAAGCAAAGTACTATACTCATTAGAAAAGTTACTCTACATCCCAGAGCTCAACATTGAGAGATTCTATTTCAGTAGAGTGGGGTTGTGGCCCAGTATCTGTACTTTTTTAAATATGTTTTTATTGATTTTAGGAAGAGAGAAACATCAGTAGGCTGCCTCCTGCATGCCCCCTACTGGAGATCAAGCCCACAACCTGGGGGCTTGTGCCCTGAACAGGAATCAAACCAGTGACCTCTTGGTTCAAGGTTGATTGATACTCAACCACTGAGCCACACCAGCTGGGCAGCATCTGTATTTTTTAAAGGTACCACATGTGATTCTTGTGAACACTGGTTAACATCCCCTGCCCTAGGTTTCTAAAACAGACAGGGCTTAGCTGAACATTTTTATAGGGAGGGATGGTTGGAGGAGGTAAATAGAGACACACACACTCTCTGTCATGTATATGTATATACTAGAGGCCTGGTGCATAAATTCCTGCATGGGTGGGGTCTGGCTGACCTGTCCCAATCAGGGCAATTGGGAGAGGGACCGGTTGGGGGTAGGTGCTGCAGGTGGTTGGCCGGCAGGCTGGCCGGCCCCGCCTCCTGGTCTAACTTTTGGTTGAACTCCTGGTGGAGGGGACAATTTGCATATTAGACTTTTATTATATAGGATATTTCCCCCCCAACGCCCCTTTCCAGAAAGGTAATGTGGGTTTTTATGCCTTGAGTACTATTTTAATGGTGACAGTAACAAAACAAAGATATTTTGTTTCTTAAAGCAAGATTGGATTAGATTTGTGCATTAAAAATAACTCGTAGTGGTATGGAGAGGTGACTGTGGGCAAAGAGACTGCGGACAAGGAGAAAAAAAAATTAGCTAAGAACTCATTACTACAGGCAAACGAAAGGCCTGAATGAAATAAACACTGAGAATGAAGAGGATGCAGCAACTTTAAGAAACATCATTACAGTTAAGTGGCTAGGACTTGGTTATTGATTAAACATTGTTATAGAAATGGACATCTCCAAGTTTGTTTTACATGCACCCAGGTGAATGATGCTGCCATGAAACTAAATCTAAACTGAGAGAATAAGTGAATTTTGTGGATCATGATAGTATTATTTGGAAGAGGGGCAGCTTTTGGCATGAAAATATAGTTTATAGAAGTGATGGGAATGGGTGTGAATATGCAATGAGAACAAATGAGGTGATAGAGTTATGAAATAGAAGACTAATTTTAAGAAGTCAGATTAGGAAAGGTGAGTGGCTAGGGAGGCAGTTCGATTAATTGTCGTACTTCAGTTTCATCTACCTTCCCAACCTTTATTTACTTTCCTTTTACCATTTTCCCTCTAGTTTATTTTACATAACTATATTACTTTTATATTTGTGAATAGCCTGGGAGGCAGGGTGAAAAAGGTCTTACATTTCACAGCTGTTTCATCATCTCAAGGGTTCAAAATCAATCCACACCTGAAAGAGGAAATTCTCCCTCTTGAAAAGTCTTAGATTGAATCAGTCCAGAGAGAAAATCAAATGGGATAACCTTCATATACAGGGCTTTACAGTTGTGAAGAATAAGTGAAACAGCTTATTCTTGTATTTTTACTTATTAATTGTATTATTTTCCAAATGAACAACTATCAAACTACTTTTGCCCCATTCTGTATGTAGTGAGTCAAGTAGATCAGCACCCACTCTGAAGACAAAAACTGACAATGACAAGACAACCAAAGAGCGTGAATAATCCCAAATTGATGACCAACCTATCGTTTAAAAAGCCAGTATGCAGAGTATGTCATTTTTGATGCTTTTGTTATTTCATGTAATCCTAACGACTCCAACACAAAAAATAATGATTGGCATCACCTCCACTTTAGAGAGAAACAATATGAAGGACAGAGAAGTCATGCTTGCACAATTCGGCAAGGTCACATTTCCGATTATCAGTAAAACCACGACCACAGATTATTATTCCGCCACGTAGTCTAGTAATCCCTACACCAAACCACACATGCTGCCAAATCATTCAAAATGGGGTGGAAGGGCACAGCATAGGGGAAATGAGTGAAACTCGAAGAACAGAGGAAGCTGTCGACAAGTAAATAGTCCTTAGGGTGGGATGAGTCATCACCAGACCCAACAGCTTACAAAATACTCGCGCCACGGGAAGCGTTGCGCCAGGGCTATGTCGTGACAGCCCTAAACAACAAGTTCACTTGAAAATGCCTGGCGTGCTTTCGCAGCGTCAATGGGCACGACAAAATGAATCTCTGCACCCAATCCTCCTTCCTAACGAACGAGGCGGGGATCACTGACCGCCCCCTTAGGAAAGCACCAAAGATACTTCCGGAGTGACTGCAGCAAGGATACGTCCAGGGAACAAAAACCTTATCGAACAACTTCGCAGGCGAGCGTGGGACGGAAGCACGCCCTTTCGCTCACAAGCACCGACCAGCTCAGCAGTCGGGTAAAATGGATCTACTACACTCTCTTCTTCTGTGCGCGACGGCTGCGCGGCACCTGTTTCTGGCTCATCTCTAAGGGTCTTCGCCGAGAGTGAAGCAGAGGAAGGCAGGGGCAAACGCACGCGATTAAGGCCTCCAAGAGAGGAAGCCGCAGGAGAACTAAACACGGAGAACTAAAAAAGGGAGCCAGAAAAAATAAAGGAACTGGGCAACCTCCTGTCCCTAGGCGAAAGTAATACAAAGAAGAGCCCCCCCGCCCCGGGGCGGAACAGACCGCCGCCGCGCCGAGGCCTAGCTGGCCTCGGAGCGGGAACCAGGCGTCTCATTCCCCGACTGAGCCGGCATTCTCGAGAAAACAGCTGACACCGCCAAGTCCTCTTCTCCCACACCCGCCACGGGCTGTTCCTGGTGCAGACACGCCCCCGCCTCCCTCCCCGGCCGGCCTCCAAGCAGCCAAGGCATCCCCCGTTACAGAAAAGGGCAAGGCGTTTCCCGTGGCCGTTACTTACCTTCCCGCTCACTACGCCCGCCACCGCCATGTTTCCTGCGCGGGCTTGTGATGACGTAGTAGCGCCCCACGTGTCTCTCGGCCTCACAACAACATCCGGCAAAACTAGGCTGATTTCCGGGAGGGAAAGGGGCGGGAAGTAGACGGAACTGCGCGGCATGAAGGGGCGGGGCGGGAGGAGCCGTCTGACGCATGCGCAGTGAGTAGGGCGCGGAGGCAGCTAGGGTGGAGTCTCTGGTGCACACTGCGCATGTGCCTGTGAATTTTCCGAGAGGGAAGCTCGGTGGACGTGGTTTTGCCTCGGGGTTTGCGGAGGAGTGAGACTCCGCCAATCGCCTGCCAATTCAGTTCGGAAGGAACACCACTTTGGGAGCCTGCGGACATAGTCCTGGCTTTGTGGCTAGAGGCAAGTCACTTCCTCCTTCCGCTTCAGCCTCAGTTTGTCACCTGTAACACTGAGATGATAGGGCTGTGTGAAGATTAAAGGAATCCTAGCCCTCTATCTGAGGCACACACAGTGCCTTTCCCCTCTGTGAAGTGTCCGGTTTTCAGTTTGGTCACTGCCTCTCACACTTGACATTGAGCAGGTGTTTTGCTAAGAACTTCAGTAATAGCTCTAACCGGTTTGGCTCAGTGGATAGAGCGTTGGCCTGCGGGCTGAAGGGTTCCAGGTTCGATTCCGGTCAAGGGCATGTACCTTGGTTACGGGCACATCCCCAGTGGGGACTATGCAGGAGGCAGCTGATCGATGTTTCGGCTCTCTATCCCTCTCCCTTCCTCTCTGTAAAAGGTCAATAAAATCTATTTTTTTTAAAAAAAGAACTTCAGTGACATACCACACCCTCACTGTTCTAGAGTCCAATGTTCATAGCTCATAGATTCTACATAGTTACTTAATAACTGTGTGACTTGAAACAAGTTTCTGAATTCAACCAAGCTTCAGTATGTAAAATGAGAATTACCCATGGAGTGGGTGTAGGACTCTCCTGGGACAATGCATGTGTGGTAAGATGGTTTGTCAAGATAGTAAGATATTAGTTTTCTTCTCCGTGGTATAAAAGAACGCTAGGGAATGATTGGAAACTCCCCTGATGGCTCTGGCACAAAATGTGGAACTTCCCTTGCCCCAGAGCATCGTAAAAGGGCCTTTGGTACCAAAACACCTGTGTTCATTGAGATACTTCTCTTCACACAGTGGAGAAAGGTTAGAGGCTTTTTGAGGTTGGTTGGGTAAGTGGCAACCAATGGGAATAACAGAAAAGGTGGCTTTCAGGTTCTGTGCCTATGGGAAACCTAATGGGTGAGGGAGGTGGCAAGACCTTACATGAGAATGTATGTGTAGCACTGTTAGGGAGGCTGCACAGTGGGCCTCAGAGATTCTATTCATGGCCAACACCCAGGCCCAAGCTTAGCACTGACTGAATCAGCAAAGCAGCTCATCTGTAAGGGATAAGTGAGCTGGGGAAATGAGCATGTTAATAGTAACCAACATTGAGTGAAGACTTGAGGACCTTACCCAAATGTACTGGACTAAGACCCCTTGACCTTCATACAATCCTGGGTGTGGTTTGTAGACCTCTTATAGTGATCCAGATAAAATTTTCCACCAGCTCAGAGTAATGAGGTATGATTAGAGGAAAAAACAATTTTTTTAAATATATTTTTATTGACTTCAGAGAGAAAGGGAGAGGGATACAGAGATAGAAACATCAGTGATGAGAGAGACTCATTGATTGGCTGCCTTCTGCACGCCCCACACTGGGGATTGAGCCTGCAACCCAGGTATGTGCAACCAGAATCAAACCGTGACCTCCTTAGTGGCAAAAATAGAATATTGGGAACTAGCTATGGTTATGGGAACTATTAATCATGCTCTGTTAACCATGATTTCCTTGTGTTGGTTAAAGAAAGAACATTCTGACCTGGGAGTCAACCATAGGATGTGGTCCATTCTCATTTAAGAACTGCATATTATCATGGAGAGATTAACAACCTTGTTGTCTAAACAATGGAATCTACCGGAGCCTGCATTGCCTACTTCCCAATGCCTGTAATCCCTACTTCCCTATGTAATCTTTGTCCTGCCCTATATAAGCAGCTGGCTTATGGAGGGCTGCAGAGCAGATTTTTGTGGATGACCTGTTGCTCTCCCATATTGCTAGCATTATTGGAATAAATGCTCATATATTATTCAACCCTGTCTCTATTTAATTGGCTCAAGTAGTAACAGGCAGCACAGATCCATTGATAGTCCGGTTACCATCTCCTAGTTCAACCATGAGCCACTCCAGTTGGGCAAGAAAAATTTTAATACATTTCTTATACCTTTGTTTTGGATAAAAGTTGAGTGCCAAGAATAGAATACTTACCATGGTACCTATTATTTACACAACTAGGGGCCTGGTGCACAAAATCCATGCACGTGGTGGGGGTGGGGGCATCCCTCAGCCCAGCCTGCACCCTCTCCAATCTGGGACCCCTCAGGGGATGTTCGATTTCTGGTTTAGGCCCAATCCCCAGGCAGTCAGACATCCCTCTCACAATCCAGGACCACTGGCTCCTAACTGCTCACCTGCCTGCCTGCCTGATCACCCCTAACTGCCCCCCTGCTTCCCGCCTCCCCCCCACCCCGCCAGCCTGGTCACCCCACACAGCCCGCTGCTCAGTCATTTGGTCAGCCCTCACTAACCCCCTGCTGGCCTGGTCACCCCACGCAGCCTGTTCGGTCGTCCATTTGGTTGTTTTGGTTGCGACGGTTGCTTAGGCTTTTATATATATAGATAAGTTTGGGAATTAAAGGCTTCTTATTGAAAATTTGGCACCCTAGATTTATCTGCTACTTCTTCATATTCTTAACCGTCATCCAACAACTTTCCTTTAAATGCTGGTGCAACCCATGAGCTACCCTTGCATTTCTTTTACTTTTTTCCCAAACATTATTATTGTGCCATTATCTTCACATCACCACCACCTATGTGCTGATGACTCCCAAATACCTGGAGCCCAAGTCACTTTCCTAAAGTCTAGAACCTACACTGACTGCCTTGTGGACGAAAGGGGCCACATGCAAACCTGACAATCTCAGGGAAGGCCTGCATGGCAGTTTGGCAAACTCAGACCTAAAGTAACCACAAAGGATGGTCTGAAATTAAACTTTAACTAACAGCAGTTATGGTGAGTAGTCACCTCCTAGGCTGGTTTCTTCACCTTTACATTAACTGAGCCTGTCTGTCTTTTTGCACCTATGATAATATATCCTTGAAATGTCTGGGTAACTTGTAACTTCCCTTTTTCAAGAATCCTTGGGGCACAACCTAATGTGCCTGGGCACCAGGACAGATACCACAAATTCCTTCATTATCATCATGTTCATTGTTCCTGCACCCACCTAAGTATGTGTCTATCATTTTGCTTTTTATCTAATCCCAGGGGTTTCCCTGCTTTGCTTTCTCCTGCCTCTCTAGTCTATCACCAATGGATTTCATGTAACCGACTTCATGAAAACAAAAAAATTCTCATTTTGTCAGATTTTCTATATACTTAAATAGTTTCCGTTACAATTGTTTGAAATGTAGTGGGTAAAAATACTCTATTATTGCTTGCAGGTGTTAGAAATAAGGCGAGCCCCCAAGTCAGGGGTCCTGGTAGAATATAAAACATACTTGGGAGCCAGGCAGCAAGGCAAACATCTTTACCTCTATGTACAAGGGTGCGCACACATGGTCTGGAAGCAGCAGGCACACACCGAGCAGGTGGTCTGCTCGGGATTTATAACCCCTGACACACGTGACCTGTCCCTTGTTCCTGATTGGAGCTCAGGCGCACAGTCTTTTGCAATTGGCTAATTCAAAGGCAGGGGTTGGCCTTTGCTGTTTCAAGATGGCGCCCCTGAGTCACGCAGCCCAAAATGGCAGCTGTCTACACTGTTCTTTGATCGAAAAGATGACTTGTTTATTCTCACAATTCCCCCCTTTTCTTTATTTAAACTCTTTTCTTCAAACTCGGCTGACATCCATTGACTCTCCTGCTCTGCAGTGTCTAGGGAGAAGACTAATTTGCTGCTTGGTCAATGCGGTTTCGAATGACCCTTGGATAAGACATGGGATGATGTGACATCCCATCACTGTAGCTCCTAATCAAAGGGGTGAAGTGGACACCACGGCTCTAGTGCAGTGGTTCTCAACCTTCCTAATGCCGCGATCCTTTAATACAGTTCCTCATGTTGTGGTGACCCCAACCAGAAAATTATTTTCGTTGCTACTTCATAACTATAATTTTGCTACTGTTAGGAATTGTAATGTAAATATCTGATATGCAAGATGTTCTTAGGTGACCCCTGTGAAAGGGTTGTTCAACCCCCACAGGGGTCGCAACCCACAGGTTGAAGTGCATCAGAGAAAGGACCATCGGTCGAGGCTCCAGCTCACTCGCCACTAAAGCTGCCGATGCCTTAGGCTCAGTGACGGTCCGGGTGCTGTGTTGTCAGGGATGGATGTGCAGCACTGACCCCAACATTACACATCTTCCTCCTTTTTTGTCAGAATTGTATCCAAGGCCAACCTCTCCTAGGTCATCCTGCTGGCATCTAGTTGTTCACTATCCCTTTAGCTACATCTTGAGTGTAGTTAACGAGCCTTTGATGGTTCCAGAAAATATAATTAATCCACCACATTCTTGTTCACAGTGGACCACCAGCACAGGACAGACTCAAACCTTGTGGCAATCTGATTTCTAGCCTTAAACTCTTTGGCACTCCTCCTGGAACCCCAATGGGATCTGTGTGTATATGGGGATCAAAGGAGCCCCCCCAGACTCTCTCCTCTTCCTAATCTGTCCATTGAAAAAGGTTTACGATATGTCAGCGTGAAAGGGATAGCCAATTGTATCAGATTGCAAGGTCCACTCCATTTGCTGGGCAAGGCCACAAGTCAGGGTCCCCCATGACACCACCAGACATCAGCACAGGGTAGCAACAGTGCAGCATGATGGGCTTCTAAGGATACTCAGCCATTTATGCATCTGTATACATTTCTCATAAACTCTGAGCACTGTTCCCCCCCGTGAGAGGCAGTAGGTGAGAAGGC